TCGCACGTCACATAGATCATCATAGAGAGTATGTTAAAGTTGTGGGTGTTTTAGTATTTTAGTAGCAGTAGCAGTAGCAGTAGTAGTAGTAGTAGTAGTAGTAGTAGTAGTAGTAGCAGTAGTAGGAGTAGTAGCAGTAGTAGTAGTAGTAGTAGTAGTAGTAGCAGCAGCAGTAGCAGTAGCAGCAGGAGTAGTAGTAGTAGCAGCAGCAGCAGTGGTAGTGGCGCAGTGGCACAGGCACGAGACCAGCAGTAGGACGAGGAGGAAGGGCTACTATCAGTTTGCTTGGCTAGTACTAGCAATATGATGATTAGGTCATTAGGGTCAGAAGCAGGAGTGGCAGCTGCAGCTAAACCACATAGGAACACGGATATACATAAGAAATATTGTTAGTGCCGCCCTTGCTCCTGCTTCTGCTGCTGCTGTTGCTCCTCCTCCTGCCCCTTCTACGAGGAAGGGCAGGCGATACTGTGCTGGACTGTGTTGGAATTCATGCCAATGTGGTTACTGTGGTGAAGAGCACCGAGATTGCTGTTGCTGACACCAGCATTTTGCGATTTTGGCTTCCGAGGTTGGCCGCTCTCGGTTTCGCATGGCCACTGTGGTCACTTGCAATGACGCGCCAGCCCACAACCGGGTCTGGGTCTCAGGGGCATCGACGACCCAGTAGACCCACAAAGTGTTGCACCAGCACACACAAGCGGTTGTTTTGTCTTTTCCTGTTATCACTACTGCTACTACGACGACTACCGCGGTGTTGACGCCTCGACAGGACTCGACTACGACGACGACGTCGAGTATTACTACTAGTGCTCCTACTCCCCACCCCCTCCACTTCCTCCCAATCCTCCTACTCCGCCTACTCTGCTCCTCCTTCTCCAATTCCTCCTTTCGTCCTACTACTGCTACGACTGCTGCTACTCCCGCTGCTTCATTCCGGTGAAAACATTACAGTCAGGAGCCCTTTCCTTCTTGAATACTGTAGCAACACCAGTGGACGTTGGTCCAAGAACTGCAAAGATGGGCAGGCCTGCACACGCTGCAGCGAGTGGCTCGGAGCGATCTGGGAACCAGCTTGGCGAGTTTCTCTTTAAGGTTGGTCGTTGCAGTTTCATCAGTTGTACGTACATAAAAGATGATGGTGTTCCGCGATGCTACAAGTCTGAATGTGCAGCTTTCACGTCGGTATTGTTTCGATGAGAAGCAAGATGAGGTGGAAGCTCATCATGTGCATGTTCATGATGCTTGCCATGATGGCTATTCTCAGCACTGTCGTAGCGTATGTGCATTCGTTGCAAAGATTTGCTGCAGGTGCTGCTGCGGTTGATGCCTGCTTGCGATGATGACAGTGATAACGATAAGCTTATTGTGCTGTTGTTTGATGATTGTGCTTCATGCCCGTTGGAGGACGATGACAATCACGACTGCTGCCTTTCTTTGCTAATGTTGCTGCTGCTCTGCTGCTGCTCTTGCTCCTCCTGCTGCTGCCGATCTTGATGATGCTAATGGTTGTGGTGGTGCTGGTGTTGACGATGATGGTCGTACTGCTTGTAGTGTCGACGACAGTGCATACAGTGCCTACATCGTTGTCGCCGCCGCCGTCGTCATCGTCGTTGCTGGTGATCGCGAGGATACTTGTGACGATGGTTCTGCTGTTGATACAGCGTCGTCGTCGTCGTCGTCGTCGTCGTCGTCGTCGTCGTTGTTGTTGTTGTTGTTGTTGCTGCTTTATGGCTGCGGTGGCCGTGTTAGTCGTGTTTGTGTGGTCGTGGTGGTGGTCGCTGTGGATGGAACAGAGGAGGAGGAGATATCTTCACGATGATTGCATGAGGCCTGAGGGTTTGGTCTTGAGGCTCGGTGTGTTTTTTCGGGCGGTGCGCCCTCCGGCTAAGACTGGAAGTCCACGACACTACCCACAAGTCGAGCCGCGGATCAACACACTTCGGACTTCTGCTGCTCTTTACATCAAGGTGACTATGCAACCTGGGTCCGGGAAAGACTGCAGAGGAGCATTCCTGATATCCGGCACCTGGAGGTGGAGGACGCGACAGAGCTAGCTTTGGGGACTTTCGAACACAGCAGTGTGATGTAGGTTTTGGGGGTCATGACTGCACTGCAAACCCTTAACCCCTGTACCTTATGCCCGACCTTCATGCCCTGCACTACAACCTCCCTACCCTCAACCCGAAAGGCTTTGTCCCAAAGCCTTGTGCATGGTGCTTGAAACTCGGATGCAGGGAGCCCCAAATCCCGAAACCTTCCAAACCATCCAACGCCCCAAAGATCCTTAAAGGATGTCAGCGACGGTCACACCGTCCAGGGCTTCGCCGATGGCAGCGGCCGAGCTCAGGACCCCAACGGCCGCGAGCTGAAGGACTGGGCTCTGGAGGGTTTCTGAAGCTGTTTTTGGGGTTGCTGAAGGGGGGATGATTGGGGGGGGGGGGGGTGCTTGTAGCATTTTTTCTATCTGCTTTCAAAGGGCTGTGTTGAGAAGAGGTGTTTTTGTGTGTGTGTGTGTGTGTTTCGGGGGATTTCGCAGTTGAGGTGTGTCCGGAATCCCGGAAGCCAGGTCCTCATCGTCTCCAGTGCTTTCGATTCTCTGAGCCCGGTTCAGCGGCAGCGCCTGGTGCACAAGGCTCTCAAGGCGGACCGGGAGTGGGCTTTAGGTGAGCAGGGGTTTGGGCTTATATAGGGGTACCTTATTTTGGGGTCCTTAGAATAGGGATCCTACTATTTGGGGCACTATATTAGGGTCCCCATTTTCTGAGTGTCTAGAGGGGCTGCTCAAGCAGAGAAGCCTATCTCATAAGCCGCTTCATTATGGTGGTAGGACTCCGATCGTGAAGACTGAAGGAGCAAGAAGCCGGGATGCTGATACAGGTAGGGAGGATAGAAATGAGGCCACTGCTAGCAACAGTTGAGCTAACACTGGCCATGCTATTTAGAAGAAACAAGTGACAGTTTTCTTTGGTCAACTGCAGGACTCAAGAATAATGACCACTTGGCTCATGGTTTGACGGTCTTCATCTGAAACCCCCCATTCCCAGACCCCAGCTCCCTGAGACCCTGCACCCTTGCAGGAGGCGCTGAGCACTGGAGCCATTCACTCCCTCCCTGCACTGCGGACGTGGACGCCGCAGCAGTGGGAGGAGAGAATCCCGACTCAAGTCGGAAGCGGAAGGCAGAGTGGAAGATTCATTATTCCGGGGGTTCAGGTACCAGACTTTCCTAGGACTGAGTGAGTACTATACTTGAGCTGGGGTCGAGAGCTCAAAACTGACCGCCGTGAGAGTGAAATGGCGCTCCAGATTTCCAGCTCATTGCCTGGTGTTGCACAGATTTCAATCAGTATCAGTTTGGCCATGGGTTCCTGAGTCGCGGTAGAAGCAATTTTGATTTCAGAGGTATTTTGATTGATAGCGAAAGAATCATCAGACCTAACTGCTACGGTCATGCGTGGGTCTAGGTTTGACCACCTTGGATCACAGCGGCCTGGGCTCTACAAGCCCCAAAAAACTAGAAGCCGTAACACCAGGCAGGGAGCCGGGTCTGAGAGGTTTTGCCGAGATCGAAAGACGTGCGTGCGCTGCAACATGTCAAAGCCACGGCTCTCTTGTGAGAGGCAGAGCCTTTTTGGAGAGTCCGTGCCACGTGATGTCTCAAAACCGGCCGTTTCTGCGGCAGGACAGAGACCGCTGCGACGAACCGCAGGTGAGCTGTGCGATTTGGCCGGCAGTTCAGAAACCGTAAGAATTGCAGAGTTTCTTCTTTGAAAGCTTTTTTTCACCGCAGCCCCAAGCCGTGGCGGCCTGTTGCGTTTGAGTTTTGAGAGCGTGGAGACGTAAAGCGGTTTCCGGTTCCGAGAGGAAGGCCGCCGAGGCAGAAATTCTGAGGCCGCACCCAGGCAGCCCACATCCAAAACCCGCAATGGCCGGATCCTAGACCGATTTGCCCTAAACCGCTTCCCTGCTCAACAACAGTGTTTTTTTCATGGTTGAGTATCTCTTTGCCGTTCTCTTACCATCACAGAAGATCCCACAGGTTCCTCCTGTGGGCCATGCCGTGGTGGATGAGGATGCCTTGGACCTGCAGCCTCTCAATGGAAAGTTATTGCCAAGCTAGCTTTCACAAAAAGCTACCGGCAAAGTTTGGGGGCCAGGGTTCATCACGAGTTGACTTCGGCCCCTTGCAGACTCCCCTACGCGCTGCATGGTGATCTTCTGAGGTTCGGTGTGGCCCAGGCTATACATCAATGACCCCGACCCCAAGAGAGACTTTGCTTGACCTCTCCGAAAGTCCACGCCCTTGATGCTAGCAACTGGAAGAAGGGTCTTGGGTACAGATTCCGATCTCCCGATCTCGGCTTCTGCAGCAACAATCAACCCTGAGGCCAAGCATCCTGGGAGGCAGGTTTGATCCTAAAGCCTTGAAGCCCGCAGGCTCTCTGCGCTTTTCCTACCATCAGCCCTGTACCAAGATTCTTATCACCACACTCCAGGGGGCTGGCTGAGTGTTGTTTTTCACCAACTGAGGACGCTCTCTGGCGACTGCGGCTCCTGCCATCGCTAAGCTCTGCAAAATGTGCTTGAAGGATCATGGGTAGTGTGAATCATTGTCCTCAGCATACATGTGATCTTCGGGTTGTGACTAGTGACTGGTTATGTCCGTCACAGCCACCTTATCACCGTCCTTGTACGGACCCATCAACCTTCAAGCAGGAAGCCCTTGACTGGCTCTCTCACTTCTTACAGAATCGGGGATTTTCAGGACATAGGTGTTTTTGTCGAGTTCTCGAATGTTTTGCGGGGGCTCACATGGCCCTCTCTGAAGACACTCTTCGAATCGAGGAGTGCCGGATCACCTATCTCAGCTTATCAGCTGTTCAACGGCTGATTCATTTTCGGGTGTCCGTTGGGCTTCGCTATTTCTGCCGATGAAATACTTAGCATCGGTCCGCTCGTAGGGTCCTGGAGGACCCGTGTGTACAAACTGAGCTCAGCGTGCGAGGGGCTTCGAAGATTTTCTGGGGAGCTTCCATGGAAGGGGCGGGGGCGGAGTCTTCGTTGCCCCGAGTCCTAGCAGAGCCTGTGTTTCTTGCGCAACCAGTGCTGCAGGAAGTCTTTTTCCCATCCGGTGTGCACTGGCGGCATGTAGCTTCGCATGTAGCTTCCCGTGTAGCTTCGTGTGCTCGGGTCGAGTCTATCCGGTTTGAGGGTGCATACCTGTCGTCTTCCGTGACTTGTTTGCGCAAGTTCTGCCGAGTAGGCAGTTGAAGATTCGCGGTTGCTCGTGGCCACGGTCGGAGGCAGCCCTAAACCCTAGTGAGGCCGGACCGAAGCCACTGCAGGCATGGGGATCTAAGCTTGGCAAGCCGACGCAGCCCGAACCCGAAGCCGTACGACATAAACAAGAACGAGTGCCACAGATGCAAGCTTTCTGAGGTAGCTTGATCAGTACATGCATGAGCCTCGCTTTGGTGGTGTTGATAAGTCCTGCATGCAGGTGGGCTTTCGAGGCAGTGTGTTTTTTTTGCAGCTTACTGTTATGACCTGCTCAGGCTCGACAGGCTTCGTTCGTTTTGTCGTTTTACGATGTTCTGGATAGCCTTTCCGCAACCTTCTTGTGGTGTGGGTTCCGCTGCAGGCCACTTGTAGTACTAGGTCGGGCAATGCGACGGTGCGACAAGCACGGATCAACCCTTCGCTTTGCATCCCACACAACGACAGCAAAAGTCTGCGTTGCTGTGGTTTGACCATTGGGGGTGTGCTCCACTCCTGAGACTACCATGGGCCGAAATATTTGTCGGTGGCAGTTGGGTATGCAGAGCCCGCATGACCAGAGTAATGAATGAATCGTGGTGATCACTGATAGTTCTACATACCCCGCAGCAATACGGCAAATCGTATCCATAATAACAGTCGTAAGAACACGTGCATCATCATATCTGCAATGGTCATCATGTTAATGTGGAGGAAACTGAATTATTTAGACCCGGCCTCTGCAGCACTTGAGAGCTCAGAAGACTTGGCCATGGGTTTCAAGGCTTTAAGACATGTTTGATCTGTGAGTTTATGTGCCCCCGTATCTTACTCGATGCAGCAGTTCCTTCCAAGCCAAGTTTGTACCGTGGGCTTTTTTAAGTAGGCATGGTCAGACACCGTTCTTCGCCGCGTCGAGCGAAAACGCTTCGGGACGTAGCTTTTTGCTTTGGGCTGTTTTGAGGCGGACGGCACGAGTCTGAGAGAGAGTGTGTGTGTGTGTTGCGGGGCCTAAGTAGATATGGTATGGTCAATGCTCCGTGGACGTCGGGACCAACAGCCCGTGCGATTTCCCCTAATAAGGGAGCGATACCTGCAGCCCCGAGCAACTCGAGCACCTAGCTAGACCAACGCTTCGAGCCACAACCGACGGACACGAGTTGGAGGCTTCATGTTTCCGTTTTAAGCCCCAAGCATACGCTATCCTGTGAACCGTAGGACTTACGTAGGGCTTAGGATCTGGGGCTCCGAAACCTCAGTCCCAGAGCCTCTCAAGCCAGGCTCCACGATCTCTGGGGTGAACTTGGAGGTGGGCTCGATGTTGCAGTCTTGGGGGATTTTATGGCGTGCGGAGTCGGGTCGGGGCTTGGTGGGCTTGCCATCATCGGATTGGCCTGGGGCGTGTAGGGGTCTCGACTTGCGGCGCTCGGATTTCAGTTGCGGGCTTCCTCACAATTCCCGGTTTTTGGGACTCGCCCTGGCCAGCAGTGTCGGAAACTAAGCGGCAGCGGTTCTGAGCTTTTGCCCGAGCAGTGCATGCACCATGACGGGAATGATGTTTCAATAGTTTGCAAGCTTGTGCTCGGCTGAACATGGCGGCGGTTGTGGTGGATGCCGGCAGTTGCTTGTGCAAGGCAGGCTTTTCAGGTGAGGATACCCCACGGGCTGTTTTCCCATCAGTGGTTGGTCGCCTGCGGCATCGCGTGGTCATGGTTGGCGTGGACTTCCGGGATGTTTATGTCGGTGACGATGCACTATCCAAGAGAGGGATGCTCAGCATAAGACACCCGATTGAAAACGGCATTGCGGTCAGCTGGGAGGACATGCAATCGATATGGTCGCACATTTTCTACAACGAGCTGGAGGTGTCCCCAGAGGAGTACCCCGTGCTGCTGACGGAACCCTCGGTGAGTCCGAAGGCCAACCGTGAGCAGCTGACTCGGATTATGTTCGAGGCCTTCAATGTTCCCTCGTTGCATGTCGCCCTTCAACCAGTCTTGTCCATGTATGCTGTGGGCAGGACAACAGGGGTGGTGCTGCAATCGGGCCACGGGGTCACCTGTGCAGTGCCAGTATGTGAGGGATTCTGCCTTCCTCATGCGACCAAGTCTTTGCCGGTAGCTGGCCGCGAACTTTCAGAGTACCTGGAGCAACTCCTCACCGAACGCGGTTTCCATTTCAACTCGAGCCACGAGCGGGAGATCTTGCAGGACATGAAAGAAAAGTTGTGCTGGGTTGCTTTGGACTTTGATGTTGCCATGCGTCGTGCGGAAGAGGGCCATGACGACACCCGCTTTGAGTTGCCAGGCGGAGCCACAGTCTCCATCGGCTCCGCTGCTTTTCAATGTCCGGAGTTGCTCTTTCAGCCGGGCCTTGGGCACTTGGGCGACCAGCGGGGGCTCGCGGAGCTGACCTTGGAGTCCATCTTGAAGTGCGGGGCGGAGGTGCGCGCAGAGCTCTTCTCCAACATTGTGCTGGCTGGTTCGTCGACCCTCTTTCCCGGTCTGCCGGAGCGCCTCCAGAGAGAACTTGGGTCCTTGGCGCCGGATGCAGCGACCAGTGTGGTGGCTCCTGCCCATAGAAATCATGGTGAGTGGCTGGGGGGTGCCACCATCTCGTCTGTCTCTGCGTTTCAGCAGATGTGGCTCACCAGGGAGGAGTATGATACCCTCGGTCCGGAAGAGATTCATGAACGGTGCATGTACACAGTTGTCTGAGCGGTGCCGCTTTCGTTGGACCGTTGCTAAACAACAACATGGCTCTGGCAAGCGGCGATGTGATGAGCTACAGATGACCGGTGAAAGCTTCTTTGTACAGTTGCAAATTCCTCTGCAGATGTCGTGCGCATGGCTGAGCCCTAGGTTCCATGGCAGCCGCATCGCCCCATTCTACCTCCTATACGGTCTGAACAGGTTGCTGCCACTATGCGGGCCCACAAAGACCATTCCACTCCGAGACCGCTGCATGTCCGAACGTTTTGTCCGATCTCGGGTAGGTTGCGTTTCGTTTCGAATGCTCTAACGCAGCAGTTTTAGCAGATTTATCGTAGAGAGATTCCGTCTTGTGTGCCTGTGGCCATTTTCAGCCTGTTCAACTAGCACAAAAGTGACGAGGACCTGCCAGAGGTATGCTATGCTTATGAAGACAAGTGACTTCACAGTGTTCCGGGTGCAACGTTTGGGATTATTTGTGCGGGGGCTCCGGTTAAGGGTTTGAGTACGTGATGGACTTATACAATGAAGGGTGGATGAGAATGATTCAGCAGTTCCATTGCTGAGAGTTCTAGGTCCGTTTCTACTGGAGTGAAGCAAGATATCGAAGAGAGTGCTTGGATGCGACAACTCTTTCAAGCTTCAGGGCCGTCAGTGCCCTGCTTTTGGAGCACTTGTTCGGACTTCCACCTTTACTTGCGACAGAGCTGGCAGTATCATTCTCAAGGCAGATAGACTGTTTGTCTTGTCATCAGAGGATCGAAGAATCCGGTTTCGAGCTCTCGAAAAGCTCGCCCTTCCGACCTTCCTCTGCGTTCGAGTTCAGAGTGAGCATCGTGGTGGTTTCTTCCGAAACAGGGGCAAACAGGGTTTTTCTTTAAGGTGCATAGCGTGACCGAGGATTTTTTAATATGGGGGTTATTGTCAAAGTAAAGCCATGCCTGAGAACAGCCAAGCCACCCAAAAGACTCTTTCAACCCACACTGATATCTGACGGGCTGCATCTCAACTTTTCCTCCGCCCCCCCCAAGGCCATAGAACCCTAATGGCTTAAATCCCCGAAACCCGAAGCCTCTCTCATACTAAGACTCGTTACGATCATAGTCAGTAGATCATGGGACTTAGTAAGTAGGGTTATAATTTAAGGTAACTATACTTATATTTACTTATAACCCCACTTAAGGGACTTATAACCTTACTTACTAAGTCCCATGATCCTCCAAGTAACGGTCATGACAAGCAGGGGAAGATCGGTGCGCTGCCGATGCTGTTGCCGCAGCTGCCCCCCTCCGAAGAGTACCTGCGCGGGGTCCCGGGAGTCCCGGCTGGTGGCTCTGCTGCTGGGTTTTGATTCGCTTTTCTCCTGTCCTTTCTGTTTGGACTAAATTGAGCAGTATAGGCTTGTACTTGGCACTTGTTGCTTAAGGGTCGTTTCGGTCTTGCTTGGGGTCCAGATTGAGTTTGTAAGCCCCAAGGGGCGGTGTCGCACATTCTGACTTGACTAGGGGTAACAGCCGTCGTGTAGTCGTCGTGGCGGTGGGGTTGCGGTGGCTTTTCTTACTTGCTCTTGGTGGAGTCTTCATCATCTTCGTCATCATCACCATCGCCATTAACACCGTCCCTCATCCCTCTAAATCCCTTATGCCTCCCATCCCTGCCATCCACTCACTCTCATCGCTCTCGTCCCTTTCACCCCTATCACCCCTATCATGATCATCACAAAGAGTATTTGCAAATTGTGCTTGTTGTCATGCTCACCATCGTGAGCTAAAGGATCGAACCCTTGTTACGTTCAACAAATGACGTCAACGATGTCAGTATGTGGGGTGTGTATGTATGTATGCATGCATGTATGTGTGCTTGTCTACCTTCCTGCATGCATACATGCCGGCAGGTGGTCAAGCAGGCAGGTAGGCAGGTAGATATATTCAGACACATGACCGCCGCCATATCACATGCGGTCATCCTTAGGCAGTGAGCAGGACTGTCTTTCCTTTTGAGTCGGCTGCAACAAGATCTCTTTTTGCTTAAAGCACGTGCTTTCCGTTTGATGATGGGCCCGTGATAGGTTTGGATCTATCTACACAGCTTTTTTCAACCTGGGCCTCCCCTCGAAACCGGAAAGGTCCTGGAAAAGGAGGCGCACTTTACAAAGCCCTAGCACCAACAAGGTCCACCCTACTGTCAGCCTGCGCAGATCCCACTGTTGCGTGTAAGCAATGCTGCACCCTCTCCCAAAAAGTGTTGAACTGTCAAGTTTACGGTGTGAACAATTCCCTAGGGCCCTATAATAGGCTTCCATATGATTAGTATACGAGTGGAAGCGCCCAGGGAGGAGATAGATCAGCAGATCGAGAGCTTGCTGGAAAGGTGGGTCATGCAGCCTGCAAGAAGTTTTGGGAGTTGTCATGTCTTGATGGTGGCTTCATTGGATTCATGGTACAGGTGAATCCTTCAGCTCGGTGCGCCCGATTGTCGGCCGCAGGTTCTTCAATGATGCTACATCATGGTCCTCGATAGAGCAGCAGGCCGGAGTCATACTGAACTGCCCGATTCTTCCTCCGCCGGCCAATTCCTTTGCACTCCACTCCGGTCATCGTGTTTTGCCTTTGTCGGCTGGAGCCGTGCACGTGCGCTTCGAGACGTCCTGCGCAGGCCGCCAGTGTTGCACGCTCTCTGGACCTGATGCGGGAGGGTCGGGGTTCTAAGTCTGGACCTTTTTTCGTGTTTTGGCGTCGAGCTCAAGATCTTCAGATTTGGAGCAGCGCCCGGCTGTCGGCTGCACGACTGCGACCGCAACAGCTAAGCAGCTCGGGGTCTCATCATGCAGCACAGCAAATTCTGCTGTTTGCAAGCGCTCACCCAAGACCGACGACAGGATCCGTAGTCCGTTTCAATAAAGGTGCTCCGTAGCAGTGTATATCCAGCCTTCCGAGCTATGCAGGAATCTTCCAAAGTACCACCAGGCGACGTGCAATACTTCCGGATCAAGGCCCTTCTGTGAGGATCGGCCTAGAGATGTGTCCATGCAGCGGTCTTGCCCATGCCGCAAAGGGACCTCAAGCTTAAGCCCTCGAGGCCCCCGGTCTTTGTCCTTGTTGCTGTTTCGTGCCATGAGATGCTGTCAGACACTTCATGACATCTTCTTCTCACATCCCTGCGTCCAGTCATGTCTCAGGATGTGGGAATGCCGTCCTATTATCATGTGTGACAGAGTGACTGTGCCTCGGTGTTATGTCTTCCTAGTGCCATTGCATCCTCCATGCTGTGCCAACGGCGCGCTAGAGGAAAGAAAAGGTGAGAGCATATGCACTTTGACGAGACGATTTCACTCTCAACTTGAGCATATTTGATACTTCTAAACGTCTACACGAATACCCCAGGCCCCGAGCGCAAAGACTAACCGCAACTAATCCTTGGAGCCTGAGCAAAATTGGTATTGTTATTGCTCTGTTGAGGATGCTGATTATTCTTATTCTCAATGTCATTATTACGTTTCTTCTTCTTATAATTATTCCTCTTCCTATTGTTGGGGCACAACAAAAGCCAGCTGGAGGTACCTTCGCCTTATCCCGGCGTTCAGTATCGGCGGAGGGGGCCTTAGAGAGGGTTTCTTCGTGCATCTTCTGGGGTTTACGGTTATGACCGCCCCTTTAGGCAGAGCTCTTGGGCTAGGATGTGCATATTTTCCCAA